CTGGGCTTTGAACAATGCCAGACATATAGTGGGCATCTCAATAAACTTTTGAGAATAAATAAATTAATAATCCCACATAATGTTCTTAACAACACTGTGGGGTAAGTATTCTTTCCCTATTCTACAGTTATTGAAGATGAGGTTCAGAGAGGTTAAATGACTAGCTGAACAACACACAGCAGTTTAGAGTGGGGAATTCCTGGTCTGCCAAATTGTACCACCTGCATTATTTCCATTTTCACATACTTCCGCAGATAGGATCACATTCTTCTCTCCCAGATATGCTAACTGCAACCCTGGGGGTCTCAACTTTTGCTGAATTGCCATGTTGTGTTTCAGACCAGTTAAACTAGACTTTTTGGACATTTCAGGTAGTCTCAGTCATAGCAGTAGAGGTTTTAGAGATTCTAGAACCTTCCCTAGAGTAAGCACAGATTCAGTGGGCATCTGCTCTGTGCAAGCCCTCTGTTGTGGCCACCAAAGAGGATAGATAATACCCTGACCACAAGGCCTGGTCTACTCAAAAATGGACACTTGGAAACATGACAATTATCTGTGATCATTCCCATGAACCAGCATTGAAGATTGGCTATAGTTAATAAGTTTGGCCTTCCAACTTGTTTCTTACATAAAGCCCATTCTGTGCAGGATTTCAGAGACAGCCCAGCACCCTCCTCCTGGGAAACTGTTTTCCTTTGGGAGCTCCCTTTATCTATATACTCAGTCTATGTGTTCAGAGGGAGGGGTTGATCTTGCTTTTCCTTGACTACAGTGACTGGCTCAGCCATGGTCATACAATTCACACCAGGCCAAGGAGACTTAATTCATGTATGTTTGCAGAAAACATATAAGAGAAGGCCTTTTGTGGTTGAATTTAAAGCTGAGACACTACAGATCTGGAACTACAGCAGGATGTCTCATGTAAAGAGACTGCCCCGGAACAAAGCTAATAAGAACCAAGTGTAAAGACAGAGGTCAAGTCTAGATGCTGCTGTTTGAACACCTGTATTCATCCAGGACTGAAGCCATATTCTCTGGGTACTTTCTCAGTTATGTAAACCACTAAATCCCCTTTTGATGTCTGAGCAGTTTGAGTTTCAGTCATTATAAACAATAAAATCTAAATAATGCTGTATTTGAGTTCATCAAAGCTTTGTGGGGTTTTGCTTTGTTTTGTTTCTGGGGTCACATATGTCTTCAGCTCTCTAAATTACCCACCTCCCAGATGGCCAATCAGAAAAATGAATGCAAAAAATTCACATATCTGCGTGGTCAGACCCCCAATACTGCAATAGCGAAACCTATGAATGTTCAACCTTGTTTAGTAAGTCCTGTATTTATTTCTCTTATCTACCATTATTGTGGAGTTGAATGGGATTTTGGTTACATTTAATTTCCTCCTACCATCATATTAAAACTTGTAAAATTAATTTGAGTTCCAAGTTTTGATTGGACAATTTAACTTTTCTGGTCATCACTTCCCAGATTTTTGTGTGTATAAGTTAATTGGACTTTTGCCACCCCTTGCAGCGAAGCTGCAGATATCACACTCATTTTGGCAGGCATTTGAAATTCAACAGTCTGAAAAGTGATCCAGGTTCTTGGGCTGTATTTATAGCCACTGTATTTATCCCTTGGTGTGTCTTCTCTGACACAGTTTGAGGCCCAGAACCACTTGTGATTTCCATAGCTCTGTCCAGGGCAGGCACGCTGGGCTGGCACCCCTAGCACAGGGACTCCCTGCCTCTCTGGCAGTCAGGTTATGGGGTGGCAGGGGGAGTTACCCCTGCAGGTGGAGAAATCAAGTTGCCAGGTCCCAGACTTTCTGTAATTTTTCTACAAGTCTGCCTTCCTGTGTTCCTTTTAAGGAGAGATGGCTGCTTGGAAAATTTACTTCTGATTTCTCCAATGGCTCAAACCTATATATTTAGCAGGTGTTATTTTCAATATTCATAAACAAAATGAATTAATTTCTGTAAAATGGGCAAAAAAGTATTTATGTGGCTTCATAAGGATTTTTATACAAATATAGAATACAGGAATACTTTTATTTTTTTGCAGTTAAATAGATTATAACTTAAGTATGAGCCAGAGCAGTGTAATGTCACATCAGAGAAGAACAATTGGCTTATCCATGGGCCAGGATCTTGAATGTACTGCTGTGTCATGTCACTCTTTGACAGTTTATTGTGCCTAACTTTTCTACCTGCCTGTGTTATTCATTAATAATATCAGTGCTTCTTTCATTTCCAAAAGTATCTCAATTTCAAATTTGGCATTTCACAAAATGGACCCAAGTTCACTTATCTTTTTCATGTAATAATATTTATAATGGAAAGGCTGAGTTTTTATTAAAATTAACATGTGATAAGAACTTTAAAATAGAATGATGAATGATTCAAATAAAAGAAGGTGCTAATGATTCCCCTTGCTTCTACAGCTCTAGTTGGGGTATGTACAATAATATCCATTAGCTGATTAATCTTAATCCAAAGTCTGAAAACTAATTTATTGTACTTAGTAAATTAAAGTTGACCTTGTTTCTCTCAATCTAACCTTTTGGGTTTAGTTGATGAAATAGGTCATATCAATATTGTGTGTCATCAAATTATTATTTCTCAAGCCTGAAAAATGCTAAATTATCATTGTATTACTTTCTGGCTCCTAGTACCAATTATTGCCATTTTAAAACATCTTTTGTTGTTTTAATGCACAGTTTCCAAGAACTACTGTCGGGCCATATGCAACATCGTCTACTCTGTCTTTAGAATTAAAAACACAAGTGTGCATGCTGGCACTGCCAGTTAATCTGTGTGTGACTTTGGGTCATGTCCTATCCTGAGTCTTCAAATGAGGACAGTGATCCTCAACCTACCCACCCTACAATGTGTTGTTGACCAGGAGGATAGAGAAGACAATGAATATCCTTCCTGAAGCTTGCTTCTCAGTACCCCATGGAGTGCTTTCAGGGGTACCTGTGTACCACATTTGAGCAAACAAAGCTCTAGAGTGCTCTTAAGGAAAAGGCCGGTACCTGGATTGTGGGTTTCCTTTGCCAGAAAGGAAGGAGAGGATATGGAATGAACAGCTGCTCACAGTTGGGCTCCTTGCCCTCCTCCACCCCAAGTGAAGGCAGCTGGCTTCCTTTTAGGTAGGATGCCTGGGGACAGGGCCTTCAGTACTCTTTGTCTCAGAGAGGAGTAAAAGGTTACCTTGGGTACCTGGGAAGTCAAGGAAAGAGTAAGGCAAACCCATAAACAGTTCCTGTTTCAGTCTATCCTTTTCCACATTCTAGCCAAGATGCCTAGGAGGAAGAATGGAGCTGTGGCTCTAGACACAGACACACTGGTATCCAGCTGTGCGTCTTCCTAAAGCAAAGAATCTCAGTGCATTCATCCGTCATCATCTAGCAGAAAAGACAAACAAATCATTATGATGTGATAAAGCAGATCAGAGAGGTCCTTTAAAAGTACCATGGGAACTCTGAGGAAGAGCTTAAAACTGGGAGTCTGGGGAAGGCACCAGAGGATGGTGTTTGAAAGACAAGTGGAAATTGACCAAACAGAGAAGGTGACAGGGAAAGGAAGACTGGGGTGGTAATCACATATAGGACCTCATGTGAGCCAAGAACTTAGGCAGGCCCTTCACCTGGCTCAGTTGGTGACATTGACCCATGCTCCCTGCTGGCTCAGACATTATCTGGGCAGAGGAGTCAGGCCTGCAGCCATATTTTAGTTCTGCCTTTTCATACCCCTAGTACCCTAATAGGTAGAGATTACAATCCCATTTTACAGAGAGGAAAACTCTGGCTCAGAAGAATTATTCAGGGAAGGTCACACAACCAGCAAGTGGCAGAGCCAGGCCTCTGTGACTCCCCAAATCCACACTGTTCTTTTTTTTTTTTTTTACATCTTCATACATGTATTTTGTATAATGATGAGGGTCTCCTTCCACCATCCATGCTATTCCCCTTCTCCCTCCCTTTCCCTCCCACCCACACTGTTCTTAATCTAATGCCCTAGGCTGATTTAGGCTTTAAAAAAAACCCACAGGGCAAGAAGGAGGATCCTGGGATGCCAGGTTTGCAGAACTTCAAGCAGCTTGTATCAATCTTACAATTTGCCTGGGATAAAGAACGTTTCACAAATCCTCTTCTCTAATGAGGCATTTTTTCATAGGAAATACCAAAAGCAGCAGCCACAGGGCCTCTCCTCTGTCTCTTTCACACTGCAGCTGTGGGTCACTACTCTGTGGGTCACTAATCTGGAGCATTCACAGCACTCCAGGGACTGGTTCCTCAAGCTTCCTTCAAGAACCCTGCTCAAGGCAGCCCGCTACCCAAGCCCTGCCCTCAGACTCTCAAGGCACCAGGAAATCGTTTTGGGTACACTTAGAAGCCAAGTCACTGGGAGCTGAGTTTTGCACCAGATGCAAATCATTGCTGGTCATTGAGATGGGAGCTTCCTTCTCTGAGGCAGAAGCATGAGAAATGGGCCAAGCATCCCACCCATGGTGGAGGGAAGGATCCTGAGTGCAGCCCATCTGCTGTGGCTGCTGGGCTTGGAGCAGTCAGTGTCAGGTGAGAGGCAGGTCCTGGAGATCCTATCACATGAATCTCAGCTGGATGCTCTGAGCTTTGGAAACTGTTTTGCTCTAGTGAAGAAATCAGGAAAATAGGCAGTGACATTCTCTCTCATCTTCTCTTGACAAAAAAAAAAAAAAAAAAAAAAAAAATTCCACCTTGGATCCTATTCCTTCCATCTAAATCCATAAACATTTCTTGCTGCAGCAGTATATGTTCTGAGATGAAAAACGCAGGCAAGTCTTTCCAGGCTAAGGAGTCCAAGATGTTTGGGCTCTTTCTCCCTCCCACCAGGCAGAAGCTGTGGCACAGAACTGGAGCTCTGTGGGCTCCAGCCGCAGGTGGTGGCAAGCCTGGGGCATGCTGGGTCTAGGGGGAACTGTTTTCGGGGAACAGATGAAGCTGTACACAGAGGTCATAAAACAAAATTTATCTTTAATTGGTAAGTGTCAACAGCAGTACAAAAGATGGAGTGATGACAACTAGATTAGGGTAGAGAGGACAGTCTTGAGGTAAATGAGCATAAATAGGCAGTTCTTATAGACACTCCCCTGCGGGCCTGAGCCCATCATGGCATATACATTATCACCCAAGGATGGCATGTCTGACAGATCAGGAAAGCACCTTGTGCAAAAATGAAAAAAAAAAAAAGTAGCTAAGGTGCCAACATACACCAGGATAGACAAAGAGTGCGTCTTTCAATTTTGTCTTTTCCCTTAATTATGAGGCAGAGGAGGGGAAGACTTGGAAAAGTACCACTGAAAGATTATTCAATGAGTTGAGTTTTATCTCACGTCAATACTGCACAACAAAATCCAAGAGGTTTGTGTATGCAACAAAGCTAAGAACAATGATCCATTCCTTTAAATTTGAAGAGATTCTCTTTTTTTTTTTTTCCATTTCTTGAATCCTTAGCGAACTTTTTTTTTTTTTTTTTCATTATCAAGAGGAGAGTGTGAGAAAGATGTGATGGCAACCCTTAAGGTCATTTAAAAACTTTACACTGGACTGTACAAGATTTTTTTTTTGATAAACTATTTACATTTTCAGACTTTCAAACATATTCAAAGCAGCAATAGACACTAGTTTTTATGGGTTTTTTGTTTTTTTCTAATTGCCCAAATAGTTACCAGCCATGGGCCAAGTAGGTACCTGTGTTATACATAGAATTTCTACAAAGAAAATCTGCAGTTAAAATTTGCTCCAGGGTGTATTAGATGTCCCTAGAGTCTCAAGGGTCACACCCACAGTGTTGCTATAGGAACCAAAGCACAGTACCTTGACAACAGAGTTACAGTTGTCCCAACAGCCCTACACAAACTTTACACTTCGAAACAGCAGCCAGCATGTCAGTCCAGCATGTCAGTGAATTGTGCTGATTAAATTAACATAGAATACAATCTCACAATATACATCACAAACAAATTACAATGTCAGGAAATAAAAAGAGTTACAGTAAGATAAGTTATGTAGTAACAGCTTATAAGCTTGTCTAAGGTAATAAAAATTTTACATGGCAAATACAATAATGAATGAACATAAATGCTAAGCATTCTAATTTGCTACAAGCTGGAGAAGGGTACAATAAAGACTGCACTTTCAAAAAAGCAAAAACACACATGACAAAGGAAGACAAACGGAGAATGCACATGAGCAGATCTGCAATGTGCAGCATACAAAACAGTTAAATATTTGCACATTCCCCATACTCCAAGAGCACCAGCACTGAGGCCTCACTTTATGCTTGTGGTTCTTCAGGAATAAGAAACTACTGAGCAAGATGTGTCACTGAGTTGCCTTCAAGCGTTCCTATTGCCACGGACACTGATTGGAAGAGTATCTGCAGGAAGCAAGACCTTTCTGTCCCTACCCCACCCATCCCTCCCCTCTGCCCCTGGAGGTACCAGCATTCGGAATACTAGTTCATGAGCTTTTGGAAAGCAATCTGTCCCCAAAGGAAAAGATGAGATGGGGATGAAAAGGAAATGCATTTGCATATCAATATTTTTAATGATTATCAGCACAGGGGCACGTTCCATAGCATGTGGCATCAGAAACAGAACATGATCGGCAGAAGTAACAGAAGTTGTTTATTGAGGAGGAAAACACATCAGGGGGCAGATGACTTAAGGAAATGATGCAAGTGCTTTTGTAGAAGGACAAATGAGGTCATATGATATTATTATATTTTGAGAAGTGAGCTTAAGTGCCAACTCAATCCTTGGATAAACGAGCATGACATCAGGCAAGGCTACAGCAACCATTTTTGTCACGTTCTCATTAAAAAGGAAGACCCAGTAATAACTTCAATACATTCCTCTAGCTGCATTCCTCTGCAGTTGTTGGCACTTGGTATAGGACTTCTTGAATGGTTTAAAACTACGAACTGATTCTTTTTCCTTTCCCTAATGAGTTAGTAGAGGTCAACTCTTTGCAAAATAAGTAAATCAAGAGCAGCAGCCTGGGCAGTGGTGTTCAAGTTCCAGGCTGCCTTCCTGCTGAGGGCAGATGGGCTTCCCTGAAACAATCTCTGCTTTCAGCCAGCCCTGTGCTCCTGGCTCAGGAGGGTGTGCTCCAAAGAAGCAGCCTGGCTTCATAAGGCAAAGAAAGCAGCCTTTAATTTCAGCCCTAGAGAGATCACACCCTTTTCAAACACCCCAGGCTCCCAGGGTGCTTATGTCCAGGGAAGGCCAAAATTTGACCAGCTCACTAGCACTGTGAGCCCACATCTGAATTTAGAACTTGGTCTGGGAGTCTGTGTCAGGACCCTGGCAAATCAAACCAGGCCCCAGCACAAGGCTGCAGAGTATCAAATACCAAATGAAGCAAACTGATGTGTTCCTGAAAGGCTGAGCTGGGTCCTCATGAAAACAACAGAGCTTCCACACCTTCCTGCAAAGGACACTGCCTGAAGTAGAGAAATTGCCAGGCTGGCTGCTTGTGTCCGCAGATGAACTTTCCTTTCTCTCCCTTCTTTCCTTCCATCCTTTCTTCCTTCCTTCTCGTCCTTCCTATTCTATATGGCCTGTTTTTTTGTTTTTTTTAAGGAAAGGATTGTCTACCAGTGTCCCTATCACAAACGACAAAGAAAACCCTGGTCTTGTATGCTTTTAAATTAAATGGAGATAATTTTTACCTTTGACTTGAAGATACCATCAAGTAGGGAGCACTGAAAAAAGGTGACAACATGCTTTAACTGGCATGGTGCGACATTATTCATGGCCAATCACAGAGGCAGATTTTTGCCTTTAAAATGTCATTATGCTTCTTACTATTAAATGGTCACAAGAACTATCTTAGAAGGTTCGTGTGGGTTCACAAAGCAAATTGACTCTCTCCTAGATGTACTGGAAATTTACTATGTTCAATTCATCTACTTTCTATAAGGAAAAAAGGGAAAAGTCTGAGTCTGTGGACAGCGGGCTCAAAACTGAATAAGAACCCGAGTGTAGGGCTTAGCTGGCCTAGCTGCAGGATGAATGCTGCCCTCACTGTCCCCAGCAAGTACAGTGACTCGTCAACTTCTAGTTTGGACCAACACATATGGATAGAGAACAAAAAAGAAATACATAACTTATCACTCACTAAGTACTCATGAACCAAAAATAAATTCTATTTCTATGTTATATTTACACAATTAGAAAACTCTAAAATGAGATGGTAAAGTCATAAAAACTTTGTTTAAGCCCCACTGAAATATAATGAAGTGATCCCGATGATTGTCATCCTTAATTTCCATGAATATTTAGAGCCAAACTTGGCTAATAAATAGAATAAACTTCATATGCACAAAATTTAGATTCTAATACAGCATTACTGTCTGAGCCAAAGAAAGAGGCGTTTACAATCAGATCATTCCTGAATAGCCTTTCATTTTTAAGAAAATGGCTAGAAGTTACTGCACCCCCAGTACTGAGGCAGAGCTGGAGCTAAAACAAAGTGTTCATACACACATGTATTTTGCATAAATAAATGAAATAACAAGACATAAAAATGACTCAAATCCGGCAACTGTGAGGCAAGCCCACACGAGTCGAAACAGATGACTTTTGTTCGTGTAGTTTTCGTACAACAGTTTCACATTAGTCAGAAGTGATAAAAAATACCATTTATATCCAGTGCTTATAACACTTACGAAACAACATCTGTGAGTGTGTGTGTTGTTTTTTTTTTTTCTTACTACAAGCAAAATCAAGTTTCAGTCCTAAAGAACAGTCCTTTGTTCTCCACCAGCCCAGAATATTATTTTGGCATGGTCATAAAAACAAACAAAATTAACCTACTATGCTAAATGTTCGCCTTTGTGCAAAATTAATTACATACAATACAATGCTAGTCATACAACACACTACCTATGCAGCACAATAAGAAAGGAGTGAGCGCAGAAGCCAAAACCAAAAAGAAAGGGGAGAAAACATGAGAATGAACTGAGAAGGAGAGGTATATAATCAAAGAAATCAGTAAGACATAATAAATATTCATTTTTTTAAGAAAAATGACCTCCTCCTCATTTGAAAGAAATGTACAAGAACAAAGTTCCAATCCCCAATCAATATTAAGAACAAAACATTCCTATCAGTACCTTCAACAGCTTATAGAGAGCACTCCCAGCTAGTGTCAGAGCCGGTGACAGCTTGGCTCAACCTATTTATTGCTATTAGGTTTGGCCTGGAGCACTCTTTAAATAAATATGAAGATATACTATTTTCTTCCAAGTGACAAAATGGCTCAAGAAATCTGTTGGGGCCATTCCTATGTCTTGGTGATCAGATTCTGGGTTGTCCCATGAGGCAAACTGTCTCATTCTCTGACACTCTCCCACTAAATCACTCTGGGAGTAGCTCCCCCACAGGCAATAGGCCCTGGGTTAAGGAACGTCTGAATGGCATCGCAGAGCTTCCTGTAGTTAGGAGATGGGGAATGAAACCTCACTGCCTCCAAGCCCAGCAGCACATCTCCAGAGCTCTCCTTGAGTGACAAGTGCAGTTCATCTTATAGACGTAGATACAGGGAGTCAGCCAAAGGTTTGCTGTCTCATGAGCTGTCTGTTCCCCAGAATTGACAGTAGGAACATGCCATACAGGGAATGTATTCCCCCCTTCTCCTTCCCTATGGTTTTCTTTCGTTCTCTGAATGTTCCATGACTATTTGCCTCTATCTTTGCTTTGAGAATGTCATCTGGCTTCCTTCATCCTGGAACTTGCAAAGAATTCCCTGGATGTGCCAGCTAGGCAACTCAGTGTAAAGGTGCCAGCCCATGACAGTGGCACTGTATACTCTACATGGCCCACAAGCCTTGGGCTTCAGGTCTGGCTGCAGGATTCTGCTGCTTTCCCACCTGGCAGCCACCACTGTTGACTCTTACTGCTGAATGGAATTCAGAGGAAATGCTGCCAATGCAGATCCTACCACTTGTTGCAAACTGAACTGGGGGAAACTCTGGCAAAAGACTCAAGGTCACAGCGAACCTCAGGGGCATACCTGCATACCTGTTAAGTGTAAGAGTATACACCTAGACCCACATATACAGCCCTGTAGCCAGATATACAATCATCTTTAAAAACAATAAAGATAGGTATTTAATAGTATCTTGTTTCAGAAATGCTTCCAGATGCTCTGGGGACATAAAATCAATATGTACATCTTTTGTATCTAGCAGGAGAAGGAGATGAAAAGGGCTAAAAAGTTCTTCAGGGAAGGAGGGTGAAAAACAAGAATTATTAAATTAATGCCACCAACATTTTTTTTAAAATAAATAGTAAATGGACCCTTGACATTCTGGAATGAATAAATTATTTAAGAGAAAATGTGTTAAGACTGAATGTCAGGGTTAAAGGCAAAGGGATAATGGATGTAGTGAGAGGTGGTCTTGGGCAGAGAAGACCACCAATTCGGTATCTGGTGTGGTGATGGCTCTGGTGTGTGTATGTCATACCACGTCACGCACTGATGGCACGTCAAGAGGCAAACACAATTGGGTACATGCACTGTGGCAACCTTGTTCATTCCTTACAATATCTTGTCTCCAGATTCCTGAGTACTTTACCATTTTCTGGAAAAAAAAAAGTGTGGTTTGCTATTTTATTTTAAGATGCCAAAGATTGTCTAAGACTTTGCAGTATCTCCTTTAAGACTTTCAAAATATTAAGATTCAAAAGTTATGAAAAAGTTTGGCACATTCAAAGTTTAACTCTACACGCGGAGAAATGGAATTCCGAGGCCTTCTGAATATGCTCTGCACGCAGCGGCACATGCCGTGGACTAGTCCTGCTTCACGATACGAAATCCTCAGTTGTTTTCTAAAGTAATTCAGAATAAAAACACATTCACAACCTGTAGGCCGGCACAGCATACCTGAGTGAGAATGTTTAACCCCATCTAAAACAGTAACTTAAACCTTTATCAACATCCAAAAGAAAAAAAAAGTAAGACAAAAATATAAGACTTGTAAGACAGCTATGGGTTGAGATAAGTTTTCAAGTCCTGGTGTCTCATATTTAATATGTCTTCACCTAAATTAAAAAAACAACAACAACAACAATAACAATAACGACAAAAAACTCAAGTTCATGAAAAATCAGGGAAAACTTAATCTGTCTCACACTTTACGAAACAATTAAGACCATTCTGCTGATGTAATTGTGGAGCCACAAATGCATGCGGGCTCTTTAAGAACTTTTTGTTGGGGGAAGGGGATGAAATGTCAGAGTATTTTAATTCAGCAAACAAAAACTCCTCAGTTGGCACTGACAGCCTCCGGGGCTTCGTTTTCACTGCTATAGTCTGATTTGGGATCGTCTTCATAGTCGTCATACATTTCCATTTCATCCTCTCCATTAATCATTTCGTTTCCAGCTAGGCTTCCGCTGTCTGTCTTCATACCATAAGTGCTCTGGATGACTGGGAGGCTGGGCTCTGGGCTGGCAGAGGTGCTAGAGCAGTCAGATGTCATCTGAGGTGACGGTGTGGTAGTTGCCATAGTAATAGCACCGGGATACACAACACCTGTTCCTGTGGTGATTGGAATCTGAGGCTGTTGCCTGTATAGATTCAAAAAATAAAATGAAATAGAGGGGAAATATCTCTATATAATAGATCTATGTACGTTCTTTCATGTGGCTTTGGGCTTTATCCCCCACACTTGTCAGAGGGGTGTCCTCTTTAACATCCTAAGCAAGTGATAAAATGTGACAAGTGTTCCTTGGAGTAGTCCTGGCACTCTCCCTGACATTATGACTGGGGGTTAAATTAGCATAATGGAGCAATTTACTGATGGTTTTGCAACATACAGGCAGAACTCTTTTAGGTTGGCAAATATGGCAAGGCCTGGCTAACATGTGACGTCAAGGACAAGTGCTATAGTTAATACCATCAAGTTATATGTGAGATCATTTTTTTTGAGTGCCCTGAGAGAATTTTTTAAAATAGACCAGTGGCATGAGACATATTATAATTACACTAGTAAGTAGATTGGTGTCATCTTTATCAAGATGAGAAAAGAACTAATATGTCCCAAAGAATCAGATTTAGCAAAGCATTTATTTGGTATCCATGCAAATGTCTACTTATTTCAGTGCTGACCTGGCAGGGCAGGAACTTATGGAACAATCATCTTGGATTTCTTAAGCCTGAGTTCTAGGTTGAAGAAGTTGGGAGCAGACAGTGGTGAGCCTGCAACCTAAGTGAATAACAGCCACCAGACATGCTGCCTCATCCAAGATCCCAGCATATGCCAGGGCCTGGTCACACCAGATCACTTCTTTATAACGTGACCCTAGTTCACATAAACTTAGCAGACTCTTTGTGAAGGTCAACCTCTGCCTCTGTAAGGAGACATGGCTACTCTGTCTCTTAATTTCACTTAAGCACTATAACTGGCACACAAGAATTGAAGATCTACTTAACTCAGAGACTATACCTAAATAATATGTTCAAAGATGTAATATTCACCAAGTAGTCCTCAGTCTTTAGAGACAGTAAATTATGGCTGAGTGTTCATTTCAAAGTGTCATTGGCACCACCCTTTTGAGCCTTCTTTTTCATATATTGTAAAAGTTGGGGTCATGAAAGTTTTGGAAGATTCTTCCACCATTTTTTGCTCTGGCTTCAGACCAGTTATTGCTTGGACAATTGCTATTAACCCTATACACTATCATTGAAACTCTGTCTACCCCACTCTCACAGGAAGATACCTGAATCCATGAGGAAAGTGCTGTGTTACCAGCTACTCTGGCATGTCCAGGAGGAGCATACTCTCCTCACAGAGGCCAGATTCCCTCCAGTCAAGTAGAGGGAGAATGGTAATGACTTGGAAATACTGTGTAATGTCTGCCCATGCTACCATTAAAAATATCCTTTGATTGCCATGAAACATAGTCACAATTCCATCACCTTTCACTAACATAATATGTAAAATACTGTGTGTGTGTGTGTGTGTGTGTGTGTGATTTCATTTAATTACTACTGGCATTTTTCAAAGAAAATAAGGCCTTGCTTCAGGTACTGTGTTCATACTGGAAAAACTAGAATTTGAACCTATGTTGTCAACTGATTTTTTGAATTCCATCCTTCTTAATAGAGTTCAATACACAGATATACTAAGTTTGCTATGTTTCATAAAAGTTTATGACTTCTATAGAACCTATCAGCACCCAATTGACACTAAGCACTAATATTGTTTCAATTTCTATAATTCATTTGTTGAGTTTGGTTGCCTGAAAGAAGCAAATTATAGAGGAGTATAAATCTATGTATAGAAACATCTTATAAAATACTGGTTACCCTCTCTCATTGAATCAAATTCTAAAAAGCAATATACATTTTGCTAAGTTTTGGGTAAATTATCACATATTAAATTTCATGCTAACCTGCCCAAGGCAGTGAATGCCTCATTGAATTGGTAACTAAGTTTTGATAATTGCAATAGAAATTTTTTTTGCCTTAATCACATTATTAGAGTGTAGAGCAAGACCTTACTGCAATATTAACCCATTTTACAGATTTTTCCAATTTAGCAAGCTAATCTAAACTCTGCAATTAACACAAACTATTAAATGGGACATTTTATTTCCACAAAGGACATTTATTTTCACAAAGAACAGATTGTCATTTTTGAAGTTCATTCTTAAAAATATCTTCATGTCTATTAAATAAATTTAACTTGAGCTCTTACTCTGTGTGGAGAGACTATATACATAGATGCTTTCATATTATCTCATAATAAACCAAAGGCTAGCATTTTCCCTCTTCACAGCAGAAGTGACCAGTTAAGGTTCAGAGGCTAAACTGGTTGTGTAAAGAAATACAAATTCCACAGCCAGGAGTTGAGTTCTTCCCTGTCATAAATTCTCTGATAGATATCAAGACTGGGATGAGAAAGGCAAGCTCACACTGTCAGAAAAATACATAGCAATTTGAATCAGAATCAAAATCTTCTAAGCTGGTCTTCTAAGCTGGTAATGAAATATTAAAAAATAAACAAGCAAATACAGCATTTGTACAACTCACTTTCCAGAGTGAGGCACATGGGCTATTCAAAAGCCTATGTGGGTTGTGGATTGAGAGGGCTGTTTTGAGCCCACAGCCAGTGCCAAAGTCTGAAATGGTGATAGTTTGAATTCAGGGGCTACTCCCTGGATTTTAAGAAATGCTGGGCTCTGGTAAGGGTCTTACAATCACACACAACTGTTTTGTGAATGCTAGAGTGAGAACTTATCACTGTGAGAGATGGCTTTGCTTCAGGAAGGTCTTCTAGGAAGAAACGTTTGTGGTATAGTGCAAAGAGCTCAGGGTCAGACTTGGGTTCAAATCCTAACTCCACCAGTTATTGGTTGTGTGATCTTGGGCAGGCTAATTATCATCATGGACATCCCCTCTATTCATCTAAGCATCAGAATGTTAGGATAACTACATTCACCTCACAGCCTGTCAAGGCGATTCGATAAGAACATATAAGTAAAGCATTATACATGTAGAGTAAGTCCTCAATGATAATTCCCTTCTCATTCCCCATTAGGAAGTTGGAGTAAACTACACAGAGAGCTTACTCTGGGTCTAGGAGGACACTGGATGACAAGGTGATAGGTTGGACTATCTATGAGCCCTGACCCTCAGGAGGCATTTGGGATCAGTTGCAACAATAGATTATACAACAATCCTCGCGGCCACTGCCCAGGCTGGAGAAGGCTTCCTCTACAGCAGTGCATATAGGGAAGGGTATCCAGTGTAAAAAGGGTTTCCAGGAAAGTGTGGGTATCTTCTGAGAAATGACTCTACAAAGAAAAAAGTCCCCAAAGGCTAACATTTGGTTCTGTGCAACCCTTTAACCTACACTCCTTCCTTCCTCCAATTCCTGACTTCTTTCCCTGTTCCCTCTAGAACTCAATGTCACTGCCACACCTTGCTCTCACTGACACTTTGCTCTCTTTAGGACACTGCTCCCCTACAGCCCTCCTAAGAGTTGGCTGTTTGCCTTCCACACCTCTCATTCAAATGGGCCTGGAGGTATGGTAGCTTCCTTCCTAGTGCCTCATTGTCTCTTACAAACTATCTTTTATTCCTACATCTTAAAATCCTCATCTTTGAATCTCATGCTACCAAACTATGCCTCCCACCACACCCTTATCTCCTTCCTGCTAGTCATTCCCCCTCATTCCTTAAAGATGTTGGTTGCTCTCTCTAATATTACCCTTACCATAACTCTTGATGGCTTCACCATCCATGCAATGATCATTCCACCACATTGCCACCTCAGTTTTGTGACCTCCCCTGCACTGTGACGAAGATCAAAGTCATCACAATGGCCATCAAGTCCTTTCACATTTGGGATCTCTCCTCTCTCTCTGACATCTACTGTTCTTCCCACATACTTGTTCTACTTTTCTCCTGTCATTCTGGCCTTCTATTTCTTCTTGAACCAGCCAGGAGCAAACTGCCTCAAGACCGGTGCATTTGCTGCTTTCTCTGCCCACTTAATTTCCCTGATGTCTGCAGAGCTTGCACTCACCTGCTTCGGTCTTTGCTCAAACCTTCTCAGTGAGGTTTTCTGTGGCCATCCTATTTAAATCGCACCCATCCTCTTAAACTTCCTGCCTCTTTCCTGGTATGCTTTTTTTAGGCACTTACCATTATTTTATATTTATTTATTTCTCTATTGATTGATTGTCTGACTTCTAACACTAGAATGTAAGCTTTATCACCACAGAAATTTTCACTGACATGGCTCCAGAGCCTACACAATACCTAAAACGTAGAAGGTATTCAATGTTGAATACATGGAATGAATAAATGAATGAATGAATGGACAAAACTAGTGAATGAGAGGAAAACAAATGAAAAGTGTAGGTAGCCTAATCTAAAGAAAAGAGTGAGACTAGATGTATGGGTAAGAAGGGGGAGAAAGATATGACATAATCATCTTTAGAGGATTGAATCATTGTCCTCATAAATAAGGGAAAGATTTGTTCTAGGAGAGACCAAAGAAGAGAACTAGACCCAGCCTACAAAGTAGTAGAGAGGCAGAATATAGCTCAGTTAGGGGAAAAGAACTTTCTGAAAATAGGACATGTTTCACAAAGGAACAGCTCCCATGAAAGGTGGAAAGTTCTGCCTCTGGGGCAGCCTGGGCCAGGATGGTGGCTGGTCACATGAAGTACACGACATCTGAAGTTAAGCTGGTTCTGTGGATATGAAACCATAAGCTAACTGTCATGGTGATCTTATTGTCATTATCAATATAAAGAGAGACTAAAAAAATTAAGCAAGTATAACAGTTGAATCTGAAGAAGTGACTTTCAAGGACTTCCAAAATATTGCTCAGCCTGCTTATCTTTCATTTTCTTTATTGCCAGGGAAAATTTCTAGACTGGTCATCTTTTTCATTATTGAACAAGCCATTTTCATTGCCATGTGTTCATGTTTTCTTTATCCTAAAACAGGAATCTACTTTCTACCTGCTTGACCTGCCCAAAACTCAAGTCCCTTCCCCAAGGATACCCTATGGTTTGTTGGCCCTAATGCATAGTAATCTCTTTTCCTCTGAGCTTTATTTGCTCGTTCTATAACATCAAGATTAGCACGTCATTATATGTTATATGCATAACACTATATGTTCTCTGTGAGTGTGCATAACAAACTATTACTTGCTAATTTATTCATGTTTGTGTCTAGCTTCTTGAACTATAGCATTTGCTGAAAGTTCATGTGTATAGAATCATTATTAAGTTAGTGCCGTATTAAGTTAGTGCAATGTTGGGTACCTAGCTGGTTTCAAATATTCCCTTACCAATTGACTGGCTAATCAATGAACAAAATGAAAAATCCAGCCAGCAGGCTCAAGCTTTGTCTATTAGGAATTACTTTCTAAAAAGCATTTTTCCTTCCTTTACAGATCAATTTCTAAGTCAAAATTCAAACACTGCAGATTTCACAAATAGGAGTAGCTGGCAGGTATTGGGCTTTACAAATAATGAATGTGCACATCAAAACAAAAATTGTATGTTTATAAAAGTGTATACATGCAGCTGATAAGAACAGAGGTGACTAAGAACCCTCCTTCCCAGGCCAAGTAAAAAGTATAAGCTGGCCCTGGCTAAGAACCCTCCTTCCCAGACCAAGTAAAGAGTATAAGCTGGCCCTGACAGAGCTTAGCATTGCTGCATGGTTTTCAAATCATAAGAATGTTTCTAGAATAAGGTCTAGCTTTGCCAGTTATAAAGGACCACATATTTATTTTGGCAAAGCCCCATCATTTGCTGACTCTTCAGACCCTTCCAGAGTCTATAAATGAAGACAATAAAGTTTGTTTCATGAAAAGATAAAGCTATATGCTTTACATCTCTGTGGTTGACGTTACAGAAAGGAATAGAAATAATAGCAATCGTTATACTTTATGTATTGGAGATTCTTACACAGCTTCTTTACAAGAGGATAATATTGAAAACAGTGAGGCTGGTCTATGTAATTCAACTATATTTGTACATAGTTTACAGGTGATTTAACCCCATTAGGATTTAGATCAAAGTGGTAAATGTTCAAATCACTTATAGCATAAAGAAGTAGGAAAATAATTCTAATACAGTAGTCAAATATTCACTGGGCACATAGTATGATTTTTCTTGAATAATAATATTTATTCTAATTTAGAGGTCATTGAGTGTCAGGTATTTCCTGTATTAAGTTATTCAGTCTTTAGAAGGGACTTTTATTGTTGTTTTTATTGTCATTTTACATATAAGGTGCAAAAAGTTTAAATAAGTTTCCCAAGGGCAGGTGGAAGGTTTAGATAAATAAAGATTGACGTGCATCAGTTCCTACAGTAAGAAAGAAACAAATCTCATATTTAAGCCAGAACAGTCTGGCTCCAGAATTGATGCTCTTAACCACTACACTATACAGCTCTAAACAATTTGTAGGCTCTAACTGAGAGTTATGTGTAATGGTAAAAAGGACATATGTTTCACATTCACATGTGCCTGGTTTAAATCTCAGCCCTGCCATTTACTAGCTGTGTGGCCTTAGACAAATTATTTAACATCTCTGAACATTGTGTTTTTCAACCCTATAATGGAGAAAACATTACCTTACCTATTTTGTAAATTTATGTAGTTGTGATAATCTGTATAATTCTCTCTGTACAGTAAAGAGCATACAATAAGTATTCAATAATTTTACCATTATTATTATTTAAGTAGTAGCCCCAACGTTAATATTTTATAGTACCTGCATGATTCGCTGTCAGTTCACAAATAAATTACTAAGTAAGTTTCCAAATACAGAAAATACATTTGGTCCTAATTGTTTAGAAAAAGACATCACTGTAGCTGTATGGATCTAAATGAATATCATCTCTACATTTGTAGCACTCTTATCAGGATTTCTATCAAATTCTGATACTTAATCTGACATTGAGGGGTTAAATCCAAGGTAAGAGCTAACTTTATTCAGTATTATTGACAAATTCATTTCATAATAGCTAAGTAAAAAAAACCTAACTCATCAGCTACAGTTGTACAGTCAGTAAAATGCACAAAAATGTTGAGTAATATATAGTTTTATTGGCTTGAAAGTTATGCAAGTCTTTTCAAAATCAGCTATAAAAATTGATCTCACTCCCGTTCCATCAAGAAGTCAATAGCAATCTTTGAATATTTTGTTTGTTTTTTTCCCTGCTTCTCTTGTCATAACCTCACATCTAATGAAGATCAATATTCAAAGATGAGTCTCAGGAAGCTAATAATCTATCAAATAGAACTACTTAAAAGAAAACACAAATCCATAAGTGGGAATAATACCTGGATTTATGTAGTAAATATTACCAAATCTGGGCAGAGGAAAATGCTCAGCATTGAAGATTAAAGAACAAGACATTCTGGTCATGGCCCCAATCCACAGTCTAAAACATCCTTCCACAACGAACTCTCCTACACTATTAGGAACAGCATTCCTTGTCTCTAAATTTCAAATATCCTTTTATACACTTTATTCCACAATGTCACCCCTCATTTTCTCCAGGTTTTCTAAGAGCTCTGCTCAAGAGGTACAGCTACACTCATGGCTGTGTTAGAGCAGGGCTGTCAGGCATGTTTTGAGGAAACACAGTGAGGACAGCTCCTATGAAGCCAGCATGGTGGAGGCTGAGACCTGGATTTAATCCTTTGAGTCTTCTCATCTTTTGGAGCCATAGGACTGCTCTAAAGCAGTTCCTTTCTCTGACTTAGAGGACCACATGATTTGTATATCCAAACACCTAGCACAGCATAAGCAATAAGTGGTAGATGTTAGTAGTTATTTAAGTTTTATATTTTAGAAGCACTGGTATGTGCTATTTTGATTCATAGCTGTTTTAATGTACCCTTGGTCCTTTAGTAAAGGGAACAAAGATAAATAATATTACTACAATTCATGTTTTCAAATATATTATCAGGGAACTAAAATAGTACATTTGATAGTTTTTTAGACTGTGGTGAGATTCACTGTCACCCAGTACACAGGGGACATGACTAGGGAGAGGGGCAGAAATCACAGAGGATCTCAAATTTAAACTTTTGATTCTCTGCTCAAAAGAGAATATATAAGATATACACTAATAGGGAGGTGGTTACAAGAAGATCTTTACCATACAGTCTTAAACTTGTATTTGGCTACCTATGATTCTACAACCAAAGAGCATTATGAGTTGGAATTTTTCATAAATCCTCCATCATGTCAATAGTCCAATTATATTGCATAGTACTTTTTGTGTTAAAAATATTACTTTTAAAAATGCAAACATTTCTAATACAGAGGAATTTAATAATCCTATTTTAGCATGAAGACAGGCTAATAAATATATTAGAATCTTCAAATAATAAAGTGGCTTAAGCCAGTCTTTGTCCCCAAAGATGCTACAATAATATAAAGTAATTCATTGATTATCTACTGTGATATAACATACAATTTTACTGTGATAGTAAATACATATTAAATAGAAATGGTAATGCTAGAGTTCATCTTTATGGGTACTATACTAAGCATGATGTAACATACTTTTGAAAGTAGTGCCACATTGAATTATCTCAATAATTGTACATGATAGGTGCTATTATTCATTTCATATGTGAGAAAACAGCTTAGAGAAGGTAAATTTCCAGCTCAAGCTGGTAAATGTCCAGCTCAAGCTGACCTGGTCAGTATCTGACCCCCAAACTTCAAGGCATAATCCTCCCTAAGACACTAAGGTGCTGCAGACTCAGAGCCCAGATGACTTTCACTGGCTTGTTGAAGTTTGTATTTTATTTACTAATTCAAATTAGTTTTATTATTCTAAAACCAGCTTTTTGTTCCAAGGAGCTATCTTTTGAGCATCCTTACACAGAAATAGCTCTTTACTTCATGTTTAAGGTATCTCTTGTTTCACTTTCAAGCAAAACTTTCTTATTCCAAGGCACGAAATAATTCCTCAGTTCTCCTTCACCTTAACAACAAATGCAGCTTCCTTTTTTGCTTCCTCCATTTGTCTCTCTCCAAAGCCCTTTCCCAAGTGTCTGATTCCAGCTGCTTCAGCCAGTGCCTCCAGAATGGTCCCCTGGTTTCCACCCCCCTGTGCTTCTAGGTCTGGGTGTGCTGGAATCTACAGGCATCTGCATCCCCACTTATCCTGACTACTGTGGTTAGGAGGGGCCTCTTTTGAATGCAGACAGCCAGTCAGCCAAGTCGAAATTTATACCAGAAATCTATTACCTAATTTTTAAACAAAATGACATGAAATCAGACTTGAAGATATCAAAAACATGTCTAGTTTCTGATTTAAGCAAGAAAATCCACATTGTTACTGCTTCCACCACAGAATAATTTACTGCAACAGGAGTTCTGGATCTCATGCCAAAAATGAGGTCTTCTAACCAATGTCAAGGCCAATTATCTTGTGGTAGATCCCACAACAAAAGCAGACTATTGTGATTAGAGTCAGAAGCACCACCCAGAGAAGCTGAGAAGCTTCTGGGGATTTCTTAAAGTTAGTTTTTATTTTTTTCTCCCTATGTGTCTGTCTAAATAAAGTATGAAAAACTCTGTGTGTGGGCACTGAATACCTTAGATTAGAATGGAAGACAATGAAAGGGGCTATCAGTTGGGAGTGACCTGCTGCAGGTTTGTTCTGAACTGCGTAGGAGCCACGTTGCAAGGCTGCCCACTTGGGACACAGCAAAGCTTCTCACAGCCAAAGCCCTCCATCATGTCCCAACCTCCTCCCTTCTCTAATCTATTTCCCAAACATACTACCAGTAGCCATCCTGAGGTTTATACTTTCCTGCAAAGGAAAGCCCAGATGGCCATATTCAGGAATACTTACCCCACTGTAAAGAACTGCCTCATCTCCTGTCTCCGGGACCTCATTAGTTGCTTATACTCCCCAATCCGGAGCTTTTTGCCATCAACAATGCAGGTGCGTTTGGGTCGGGGTTTGTATTTATAGTTTGGGTACTTCTCTAAGTGTATCTTGCTTAGCCGGGCCTGCTCTTCATAATAAGGTTGCTTCTCCTGGTTGGACATGGATTTCCAGCGAGATCCTAGACATAAAAATAGCCTAATTACCCAAATGGTCAAGGCAACATATTCCAGGCAAATATGACTAGATGGACCCTTGGCACTGCTTCACTCACCTCTGTTCTGGGTAGCTCCTATTGCCACATACCCCTGAATTTCCCAACCAGTCTTTTAGATGATAGAGCAAAACAACAAAATTTTGTACAAAATGCATTTGTTGTATTTATTTCTCTCAGTGATTTAAGGTTGATGATATTGTTATTTTAAAATATATCTTTGCTGTTTAAAGATCATCTCCTATACCAACGTCTTTCCCTAGTCATCTGCCTCTCTCTCTCTTTCTACAGGGTTAAAAAAGCCTGAACTTGCTAAGCATACTTTTGAGAATGACAGGATTCGCAGGAAAAGCTTTCTTGGTTCCAGAAATTCAAACATCTCCCAATACTCCAAGCATCTTTAACAAAGTTGACCTTTGATAAGATGTCAGCTGATGTTGCTATCCCTCCATATATAAAAGTCTCCTGTGTACACTGTCTCCCCTGGCCTCTGATAATTAAAAAAAAAAAAAAAAAAAAAAAAAACTAAAACTCTACTTCAGAAGTTATAGCTTTAGAACAGGAAGGTACCATTGGAATTATATATACCATTTTCAAGTATTATAAACACATCCATTGAAAGTTGTACGAATAAAAGTACAAAAATTTTTAATATGGTTTACACAGGAAGAAGGAGAAGCATTCACTTCTCTAATATTGTTTATAAAGAATTATCTAAACACTTGACGAAGGAGGGATGTGTTTTTTTACATGTATCAAATTGCATTTTTGTGTCTCGCTGGTGAAAAAGTGGTAACAGCTGTGCAGACTGGATGTTAGCTATTCTTTGGGGGAGATTTTTCATACATAAACAAATGGAAAAGTTGTACAAATATTCTCTGTAGCCAGCAATATCCTGGTCTGCTTTAATAGCACATCCATCCCTGTTCTTTCCTGATTGTTGTGCAAAAGTTGTGTAGAACATCTATGCAGATAGGTTTTTCTCTGTTCTGCTGGCTCCCAGCAGCTTTAAGCCCCAGTTAACAGAGGATTCTCGATACTCTTGAAATGCCTGGGCTTAAAAGTTTACATTTTAATGAGTATACTTACTGTATTCCTAATAATTTTTTCACAGAATACACACTAATAATACAGATTCTCCACAGCTGCCAAAGTGGAAACAGAGAGGGTCTGTACCCATCTGAAAGCTCGCTCACATTACTACTAAACCAATAGGAAACAAATATGAAGATCTCAACGTCAGATATCAAATTATAAGGCCAAAGTAGCACTGGCATTTTCTAGAATGTCTTTTAATTTGAAAAAAAAAAAAAGTCTGCTCATTAGGAACATTTTGGTTTGGAGGATATTTAAATTAAAAAGAATAACATCTCTATGTATTAATCTCTGAAACAGCAAAAATCCCACTTAATTATAATGACATTAAATATCCATCTTTAAATTCAGAAGTCAAAATGAAAAAAAAAGAGAGAAAAACCTGCATTTTAACATTTCATCACTATCTGAGCTTATGTATGTTTTAAATTTTCTCAGAGGTCACTGCCTCAAAATGTCTCAGAATCTAGTTAAATTATTTATACAGTAACAAAACATGTGTATTTGTATATGTCCAGATCACTGATATTTACTCAGGTTAAATATTTATTGCCTTTGAACAAAACATTTAAAAAATTAAAACCACAGTTTAAGTCTCTAATGTTTTTCAGCTTCTTAAACAGCTCCCTTTGAGATTTTGTCACATTATGACAGCTTAAGTAGAACAGTGCCTTCTGTGATTTTTCTTTTTAAAGAGGAAACATGTTGACTGTAATGCTGCATGTTGGATAAAATATGTTCAATATGTTGAGCACAATAATTCTAAACTGTATAATCTGCGCTAGGCAAGCTTTATGCTAAGAGAACAAGGTTTGAGTTTAATCCTGAGAAACGGGAGAATCACTCTGGCAATTTACCACAAAATGGGGCTCTGCCCTGTGGTCTATGTGTTCAGCACAGTGCTATGAAATTTGAACTAGTCATATCTTATTAAAATAAATGTAGTTTTATTTTACAAGTTTAAAAGTTATCATTAGAGGCTCTGTTCTGTACTCTATGAATTTCACACCATTTTGGGGTTCACTCTAGTCCTGGATGAATTCTTTCAGTGGGACACATGAACCCAAGAATACTAGACCAGAAAACCTAAGATCTATGAGTATTTCCAAGGCTGTATAGCAACTTACAAATTTAAAAAGATTGAATAAAGAGATAAATCTAGTCCCCATGATTCCTGTTTAGCAGTCTCCTCTTATGAGTTGCTAAATTTACAATATTAACACGATACTATAGTCTGCCTTTAAAATCAGTTTTTAGCCACCTGCTGTGGTAGATTCGGTAAGTCCCAAACCTAAATGCCATGTTCTGGGGAGGAGGAGATGATGACAAAAGCTGCTATTGTAGCTGACTAAACTTCATCTGGCTTCTCCAGCCACAGTCCCCCTTGAGAGCCTAGTTCTGCCCCTGTTTTCCACTCATGCAGCACTCATGGGGTGAAAGGTCAGCATTAGCTGTGCCCCTGTACTCACCTAAGATTTTGCTAATGTTGGAGTTGTGCATGTCAGGGAAGGCCTGAAGGATTTTCCTCCTCTCATCCTTTGCCCAAACCATGAATGCATTCATTGGTCGCTTGATGTGTGGCTCACTGCTGGCACGGCCTCGGGCATCCCTGTAGACTCGTGCTTCAGCCACAGTGGCACCTCCTGTTGGCCAACAATAATACTGCTGTAGTTTAGCTGCAGAGCCATTCATTGCTTTACTTCCTGTAATGTCAGGGCAGGAAGAACAAGATGGGTGCAAAGAATTATTATAGAGATAAAGTAACATTACAGATTGTCGCCTTGGCTCCAATGCTAGCCCTAGGCCTGTCTCTTCTAAGTGATCTCTTGGGAGCAGAAGACATTTTTAGATGATAATTCTTCAGGCCCTTCTTATGTAGCCCTCAAAGGGACACTGGACAGAATTAACTTTGCATATTTTCATACAGCTGGTACATTTACTGTAATCAACTCCAGGTGATCAAGTAATGACTGGCATTATTTTATAGCAAACTTTCCTGCTGTGATTCCTTCCTTCAAAAGCAGGCTCTTCCCTGTCATTTTAGCTTCACATGCCAAAAATCACAGCCATCTCAAACAAATTCCCCCAAAGAGAATTGTTTTTCACAGCACTGTCCCTTGGCCTGCACCATGCTTCTCCTAGTCTGTCATGCTAAGTCCCACACATCCTTCAAATCCTATTCAAATGTTGGCATATTTCATAACGAATCAATTCAATGAAAAATAATGACTGAGCAATTCCTGTGAGTTAGGCTTTACATCGGGTGCTAGGGATACAAAGGCAAATAAAGTGGCTCCTGCTTTTGAGGTGCTCAGAATTGGAGGGGAGGCAGGCACTTATACCAGAAAGTGTGGCAAGTGCTGCAAAACTGGAGGTAACAAGGTGCAAGGGAGAAGCAGACAGGATGGTCAGCTACTGCTTCCTAGGAGATGTAATGTTCCTGCTGAGGCTCAAAGGCTGACATGGAATCTGCCAGTGAGTGGGAGAGAGGAGTAAAGACAGATGAGAAGGGTGTTCAGGCTAAAAGAACAGCATTTGCAACGATGCTCCCAGGCAGTGTGCATTTCTTCTTGTTTTCAGGCTCCATGTCCCAAAGTAATTATTGTTTATGTGACTGTCTCCCTCCGATCTTTCTATGCCATCCCTAGGAACATGAGATCTCTGAAGTTTGAGATTATCTTGCACTTGTTCTTGAATACCTGGGATTCTTCACATACTAGACAATAAATATTAAGTGAAAAAATATGTGGTTTTCAATTCTTATGAAAAAGTAGTAGACTAGTAGAGGTGTTCATTTCAAGGGTCCTGATATATTTTTCTGTTGTTTAATGGAATTTCTTTAATACCTATGAAACTATATGTAAATTTCTGGTGTTATTTCTGAAAAGCTGAGTCTAGTAACGTAATAGATTGGAAGCTCCTTAAGGATGGGGGCAAGGGATGGCTCTTGTCATTGCTGTATTCCTTGGATCTAGTGGAATATCTGGCACATAGAATTTTAGTTAATAAATGTAATGAATGAATGAAGCTCTTGCTTATCTTCACGACCCCAACCCCTGCCCACCTGCAGTGTGACATACCAATATATGCTTTGTCATGTGGCAATTACTGCCTATCTCCCTATACACTGAGAACTTCTATAGTAAAATACAAAGTGGTTGGACTAATGTCAATATTTCTATGCATAAGCAGGAAAGCCTTCCCCCAAAAGTGTAGGTGCAAACCCCACATTTCTGTTTTCTGGACAAAGTAAATCCTTTCAGCTCAGCAGACTTACATAGAAATAACACAACCTAATCAATCTCTGGTCCTTCTATTTCCAGATACCTTGGTTAAGTAGAAATTTGTTGGTGTCAAAACCAGTAATAAATTAGAACATTAAAGCACACTGTTATTTGGCAAATATGTTCATCATTTATTGTAAACAAAAGACAGGATAAAAGGATGGAATTGGTTAATATTGTGATTTTTTTTTTCCTAAACATGAAGGAGGGTGGAGAGGCCACTTTCTGAAAATCATGCAAAAATAAACATATTTTTTATAAACAGCCCTTCTTTTAGGCTTACTAGACAGAATGATGCCTTACATGAAAAGTCTCAGATCCCAAGATGCATAACTAATATGCTACCTTTTTGCCACCATACCCACAGTACATTAATTTCATTTAAAATGCACTGACCATACAGGATAAATTGATTTCACTTTATATGGGTTTGACAGCCATGTTTATTGTGCAGTGAAATGTAGTGTAGCTTCCAGCTGACAATATCCATCAACACAGGGCAATATGCTGACTGCTGGGCCAGATGAAGGCATACATTACTCTGGAAGTGAAATACTCATTCAGATACGACAGTGTCTTCTCCTGAGGATCACCATGGTAATTTATGATGCCCTCAGTGCCATTACTTTACAACTGACATGGATTCAGCAATTTATATACTGGCATGCATACACATAAAAGGAGACAGGTTTGTGGAGAATGTCAGATGCAAAAACATTTCAGTATTATTCTAAGTTAACTACTATGCCACAGGTGATTAACATTTGAGATCTGTTTTTGCTGTTGTAGCTCTTTTACCTCTAGCGAACCCAACTAGTCAGCTTCTATTTATTTCTTCATTTAAAGTATGTATTTCATTGTAAATGGGAATTTTTAATCTTCTATAGACTGACAGAAATCATGGTAAATTTTTAGATTCTGCTTGTGCAGAGAGAGCTTCTATATCCTCTACTCCATACTATCGATTCTCCCAGACATATGCCCAATTTCTCTTCCTCTTATGCTATATCAGTCTTAGCATAGGTTTCTTTGTCTCTTTTCTTTACTAAACACTACCTCCCCTTGCCCAAGGAACAGAACTCAGATCCCACATGCACCAACTGCTCTGCAATGACCTCTCCCCTTCCTCTCACAGTATATATTATCTACACAATACTGAATTCATAACACAGAGGATCTCAAGGACTTATAAGAAATGCTTCAGAAAATGGAGAAACTCAAGAACAATGCATAGTATAAAAATGTGAAGGAAAAAGGGAAAATAGAAAATGCTTTAGATATGTGAACATCTCTTCTTGTCAACTCTTCTCTCTTCCTGAAGGAGTGAACTGAAAAACAAATGGGGGCATCCTAAGCTAAACTAGGAATGTTGTGGCAGACAAATCAAGATTTGAGAAGAGACTAACTCAGGGAGACTGAAGTGTGAAACTACTTTTGAATTGGACTTGATATCTGAGCAGAGATGAACCATGTCTTTTATTTTTTTATTTTTTTTCTAGGTTTATATATAATGAACTTTTTAAAACCTTATTTTTGTTTCTAGTTTTTTTATTAGTTGTTCAAAACATTACAAACCTCTTGACATATCATATTTCATACATTTGATTCAAGCAGATTATGAACTCCCATTTTTACCCCGTATACATATTGCAGATTCACATCAGTTCCACATGTCTTTTAATGATAGAAATTTGCAGTGCACAGATCCCTTTGCAAAATCTTAACCTGGACCAATTTTTTCCCAGTGTTTTCTCCTCTCCCTCCTCCTAATTTCACCTCCTTTCTTACCTATCTTTTTAATATGTGGTATTCTAAGGCTACCTTATGATTATAAAACTATGTTCATGATGTCACCCTCCTTCTTACTTAGGCAGCCAGGGCAAAACAGCAATAAACCTACTTTGCATATGAAAATTGGCCTCTTACTCTTGCCTTAATAATTACCACTAACATCCTGAGGAAATGTCCTCTATCCTTTCCTGAACTTATACCTCAGTTTATTAATATTGCAGGAAATGCAATATTGTAAACCACAGATACCCCACAAAGACATGTTGAGGGTTTCTTTTATCTTTTTGCAGGGACTCTGTGATGTACCACTTCCATAGAATTTATGGAAGCATTCAAATGAGCACTATGCAGAAAGATGCTTTGCAACAAATATTTCTTTGACCAAATATATTGATAGAAAACATCTCTCAATATTACTTTCTTTTTCATTGAAAGATGACAACTCATCTATTATTTGAACTTAGAATTTAGGTTTGAGTGAAGCTCACATTCACAATTTTATAAAAGTATCAGTCACAAAAGAATATATGTGTGTGTGTGTGTGTGTGTGTGTGTGTGTGTGTACTGGGGATTAAACTCAGGGGCACTTGACTACTGAGCCACATCCCCAGCTCTGTGTTATATTTTATTTAGAGACAGGGTCTTACTGAGTTGCTTAGTGCCTCATTTTTGCTGAGGCTAGCTTTGAACTCATGATCCTTCTGCCTCAGCCTTCCTGAACCGCTGGGATTACAGGGGTGCATGCTACTGTGTGTGGCAAAAGAACATTTAGAAAGTATCCTAAATTCTCTAAAATTCATTTCATGAAAGAAATTGGTTAGGGAATTGTTGTTTCAGCACATGACTATATATGCTGAATAATTCAGAAATTTAAAGAATTTAAATTTTTTGAAACTCCTTTAAATAGATAAGGAAGATTCTATAGAATACTATCAACTGTTTTCAAAAGGTATGCCATTAATCTGTATATCTACAGCCCAACGTTCACTTTCTGTTATAATTCACTCTAAAATTCTAAATATCAGGTAAGATTTTATACTGCTTCATTCATTTTTGAGATATCATTAAGTGTAAAAACAAAATATTTCATTGTTAAATAGACAACACTCTTCTGGCATCCAAAATTGTCCTAAGGAATGGCTTAACATTCTATAAGGAAGTTACCTTTTGTTTTAATGGCAGAGGAAACATTTGTGCATTCAAAGTAAGATTTCTCCTAGACAGCAATTGGAAGGAGCCTAGACCCACAGCTATGTACCTGGGGACTACTCTTTCCTGCTGATCTAAGAGACTATCAGCAATAGCAGTCCCAAATGACAGTTACTGAAAGGCCAGGAGGTCAACAGCACCACCCTAAGATACCAAGGGGAAGCATGGTCCCTGTAGGCCAGAGCCTCTACTCCACATGACTTCCCCTAGAAAGCTCATCTTGGTTAATTTATCCTTCATCTCTTCAGTCACAGTTTGTATAAATGCAAACTTTCAGTTAAGCAAAGAAAGATAGTTAACCTACAGGGAGAAAATAGAAATCACCAAGACAAAGACCTCCTTAGGAAATTGTGACTAGAATGATTTAGGGAAGACAGAAAATTGAGTTTTTCCAGGTGGGTTGGAATGACGTCTAGTTT